AAACATACAAGGAATTTGACCAGTGCAAAGAGCTCTCAGTCTGTTTGCATCAAGAATAAGAATACTAAAAAATAAAAATAAATAATAATAATAATAACAACAACAACAACTGACAATTCTAGAAGTTGGTAAGCATTTCTATCTCAGCATGATATCTGTACTGACCATAAATGAATTATCATGCTATTATTGATAAACATATTGTTCAGAATATAGACAATAACAATACAAAATAATAGCTTATTTGATCATTATGTTTATTATCATTCCCCTTCCCCCTCACCAGAGTTTCAGAACGGCAGTACCTCAGCAAATGCATATTAACTAGTCTTCTGATAAATAGATTAGTTTAAGAGATTGTGATTAGGCCTAGGTCTGTGCATCTAGATCAGATATTCTGGTTTAACTATCACTATATCTTGTATGGGAGGTAGATGAACTGAGGTTAGAGCGGATATATCTATTACATTCAGTTTGACTTCATATCTCACATACCCAGTGTCTACGAAGGCAGTCCAAAATATTTTAACTGGATTGGTTGGTTTTACTATTGTTTTGTGAAATCAAATTGTCATTCAGTATGAAGCAATGATTTCATCTCTCACAGGTACATGCTTAGTGCATGGGATTTTAACATGTGGGGAATCATACTCTTTTTAGTGAGCAAGAGAAGACCTGGTTTTCCTGTCTTTTATCTTTCCCACAGATAGCTGAACTATCAGTGCATTTGTATCTTCTTCCTTCCACCTCAAAGTTTCCTTAGCCTTCATCTTCAGAAACTATCTGGCCTTTTCCAGCATCACTTTATATTTCAAAGCCAAGAGTTAGAGAAGTGTGAATGTTTTCAGCAGGCTGATTTTTTCTTCTAGGCAGCTCCTCCTTGTGCAATATCGTAAGCACAAGGAAGCAAGGAATACTTAATCCAAGCTATAGTATGTCAATTTACCAAAGAAAATACATTATGCCCAGTGGATTCCTCCTGTTGATGAAACCACTTAAAAACAATGTACTATATGCCCCAAATGCCCCTATCTTTGATTATTAGTTGCAAATTTTCAGTAAATAAGTACCCCTGATTGTTCCATTTAGTTAATTCATTTAGATAAAATGCATTCATCTGAAATGCAAGGCATTCTCAGTCATGTTACTGAAGAACTGAGTATTTGAAACTGACCTATAATTGGAAAGGTCTGCAGGCAGAAACCCAGCTTACATTCAAGAAAGCATTGGTCGCCTGCCTTAATTGTGGGCTGATCCCAACCTGGTCAATTTAATCAGCCAGAAGGGGCAAGGGTAACACAAGTAACTGATGGTCTCATCTCTTGACATATCATGACTATGTCCTTGAGACCTAAAAGCTAAAGATAAGTCATATGAACCTGTCAAGCAATTGCCAAGGTCATCACCCTATGACCTATCCCAACACTGGTATCCAGAAATAATTGAATCCAATTGACCTTGTCTGTAAAGGATGCTAAAAGTTGTTCAGCTTACAATTGTTCCAGCTGTGTTCCCCCAACATTGTATATAGAGCAGATGTCACACAGTATGGAAAAATATCATTGGCTTATTCTGTGAAAACTTCACTGCATTTACTGCTGTGTAGTGGGATTTCGAATGGATCTGACAAAGGGTCCATTCTGTGTTCAATCTGATTCATCACAAGAGTTTTCCACTCACACTCCAACCCCCTACCTATCTTCTTTATTGTTCTCAGTTTTCTGATAAACAATTTGAGCTATGCTAGAGGGAAGAGGGCACTTAGGAATAGTAGTATCAACCAACTAGGCTATTTCCTTGCCCCACTGATTGACCAGATCTTCTACATGGTTGCTGACAGACAAGGCAAATTTTCCAAACTTATTCAGGACCATCCAGGTCTATCAGGTATCTGCATCAGACTATTTTATCTGGTCCTCTGCCCTGCAAGGGTTTATAGCAGCAGGTGTTTTCAAATTCTGGATCATGGTACTGGAGGAGTCAAAGAATGTTCAAAATGCAACAGCCACTTCAGTGACAGGAAGTACAGTGAGATTCAGAATCCCATCCCTCAATGAGCAGTATGGATGGCAAAGCTGAAAGGTAGGCTGGTACTTTGGTCTCTGCAGCAATGGGAAGCAAAAGCTGGAATGGTTCCTGGTAATGCTACTTCTTCTGCTAGTGTCAGAAGACAGTGTAAATGTACATCCTTTCTTAGTCTGGGAACAACCCCCATCCTCACCCCTGCAGTTGGGTCCAGTCTTCTGCAGTGGAACTCATAGCCTCCATGTTAGTCACAACACACAACTAATCAGTCCAGCATAGGCTTCAGTAGGAAAGCAGAGGTCTTCAGACTGGACCAGAGAAAAACACATTGTATGGATATCTCACAGGCCCAAATTAAGGTCTTGTGTTTATGCCATTATATTAGAGTTAAGTGAATTGGCTGGATTGTGCCTACATTTCGACAAAGTGGGCCCCCTGAAAAATATTGGAAAAACACAGAATCAGCTGACTTCTGAAGTTTTATGCGTCTATAATTCAGGTTTTGCTTTCTTTCCAGAGCTTTTAAAAGGAGAAGAAATGCAGTGTTTCTGCTAGACACATGTATGTTCAGGTAGTAGAATGCATTGCAGAAGTTAGAAGGCCCTGGAGTATAGCCCCTAAGGGGCCATCTCACAGAAAAGTGTATTTATGTTGGTAACTGAATTTAGGACTATTATGTATTTTCATAGTTCTGTTTTTTAAACCAGTGACATAATGTTTTGAAAGTACACGTATATAGCACACAAGTAGCCTTCAAGTTGACAATGATCCTTGGAATAAGAATTGGGATATTAGAGCATTTTCCAGTTTTGAGCTGTACAATGATGGGCAGTATATATGAAGACCTGAAACAGAATTTGATTCATCAAGGGGCTGTTGGGATAAATACACACCATCACAGCACTTACTAATGCATTCAACGATGCCCCCCCCCCCGCCAAGTTTTATTTAAATTCATTATTGCAATGCAAATGACAAGCTTCTGCATAGCAAAAACCTCTACTTAGTGATAACCCACACAGGCATTGCAATAATATACTATAATTTCAGTTTTTTATACAACATTAATAATACACTTAGATCAGACACAGAGAACCACTTTTTATGCTTTATGTGGTATAAAGATCGAAGGTTCTTTTAGCAAATGTGGAAGATTCACAGCCAGCCTTGGGGTAGAGAGAATGAGGCAGCCACCTCAGACAACAGATTTGGGGTGTCCCACAAGGATGGCAAACAATGATTTATTCATATCATCATTGTAATGTATTGGCTAGACAGGGGTGCTGCGATTCTCTCCCATTTTGCTGCAATAAGACCCCAATTCTAAATTTGTCTTTAGACTTAACTGCTATTCTCAAAATATACCATGTTCCAAAGTAAATCAGATATTTCCTGCTCACATTGCCTCATGGAATACCTTTTCTGTTACAGAAAAGGTATTCTATGAGGCTATGTGAGCAGGAAATATCCAATTTACATCAATCCAGTAAATATTCTATGTGACCAGACAATGAGAAACATTTTGGGAGCCTAAGATTCCTTCTCACTAGATCTCCATCAATGTAATCTCTTACTCCACTAACCCATCTTTCTCACTCTTTGTCTAGTGAAATCAATTCCCCAGTAAAAAGGAACAACAAATAGTGAAATAACTCTTGGGATTGTACTTTAAGCAAAGCTCTGTTGTACTTTGAACTGAACCTCCTTTCATGTATTAGGGCTGGAGCAATTGCTTTCACTACTTCCCTTGAATGCTCTGAAGATGCATGATCTATTTTTCCACAAGCTGACATACAAAGGAAAGGTGGAATTGTGCAATAAATTGTTGACTGAAAGAAGCAGCTTCAAGGGCAACCACTATTTCATCAGTACTTAAAAGAAAGCAGTTCTGTCATGAATACTTGTTTGTATGCTTGCTCTAAGTCTTATTTAAGCTCTATTTTGTTCAGGACCCTGTTTTCCTAGGACAAACAATGCTGAGCATAGTTTCCAAAGCAATAAAAACAACAGTATGATTTAAGAGAAAGACTTACATAATCTCTTATGTGGTTATGTAACTCAGAATTTCTCTTCCTCTCTGAGCAGATCCTACTAGTATTTTTTAGCATTATACTTCCCAAAAGGATGGCTTCTTCTTTCCCCAACTTTTATCTCTCCTTTTGCAATTTAGTTTTCAGTTTATCTTTTGTATAATTAACTGTCTGGCACAGTGTTTCTCAACCTTGAGAACCTTGATGTATGGACTTCAACTCCCAGATTCTGGCTGCTGAAGTCCACACATCTTAAAGTTTCCAAAGTTGAGAAACATTGATCTAGCATATATATAACCATACCATCTAACATATATCTACTCAGAAATAATCCTTTTGGATACTATGGGGCTTACTCTCAGCCAAATCCAACTAAATGCCAAAAAAGAGAATGTTTGTTTGTTTGTTTTAATTTTACAGAGTACCTTCTAGAAATCATAGCAATTACAGAGAAAGTTTAACTCCTCGCGATTGCTAGACAAGATTGTTGCATTTGTAGATGAATCTCCCCAAACAAGTTCAATGTGCATAAGAGGGGATCATCCAGGAGAAAGCATACTTTCAGACAGTCTGAATCCAAACCATATAGGTAGGCTTACTATCTTAGCTTCAATCTGTATAGTCCTTTTGGAAGAGAATAATCCCTTCCAGAATGGGAAGAGCTATCACTTTCCTGAAATTATGTCTTTGCAAAAAACACATTTCAGCTGTAGTTTATTCTCCATCTGGGTTATGAGTGATATATGCATACCAATCATATCAGCAGCTACATTTTTTTTCTAATAAATAGCCAATAAAGCACCCCCCTCCCCTCCAAAAAAGCCCTAGTAAAAGCAAGTTTCACAAATTAAACTTTTAAAGATTTCTTGTCAGGATTTTTATAGTGAATGTAAGTGCTTTTTATGGCTTGATTTTATACTAGTTTTCACTGGATATTTAACTTACCTCTACAGATAGGAACTGGAAAATCCCAGGATGCTGTATTTACCGAACTGGCTATACAGGTAAGTTGGGGATGTCCATCCAGGATGTAGCCTGTCACACAGTTATATCGGATTTTGTCACCAACATCGAATCTTGTTCCATATAAAATTCCTTTGGCTGGAGCTCCAGGATTTCCACAAGAACTGCTCTGTAATTCTATGATGAAAGAAAGAAAGAAAGAAAGAAAGAAAGAAAGAAAGAAAGAAAGAAAGAAAGAAAGAAAGAAATTACAACTAGAGCTTGCAACTTAACACTGCTGCCAGAAGTGCTCTTACAGAATATTCCAACTACCTATCTCTTTCCCAAGATATTACATACTATTCCTTTTTCTTGTGATTTTCCATTCTTATCAACCATTAGCTTGTCTTGCAATTGTTGCTTGGGTTTGTGTTTGCAAAAAGATTCAAAATCTTTGTCATTCTTCATTTTCCTAATTAGGTATTTTATTTTGTATTAATTATAATAATGATTAAGTATTAATCTATTTGTTTACATTATGTATTGTGTTTCTCCAATATTCATTTTTTGTATGCAGCTTTAACAAATGTACACCTTTTTAAACAGTACACATTCTTATATAAACTTTTGAGCAGAGAAAGAACTTCAGACACACTTTATTAGATTCACCCAGGAATTTTAAGGGCTGTTTCTTGATCTTTTATTGCTACCCTGTATTTAAAGTTAATTGTAGTATTTTGCATTTTAAGCTTTGATTTCTTTCTGATAGAGGGAAACAGGAAGAAAATTGGAATTCACAGTATCCAGCTACTATCCAAACTTCAGTAGCTTGCATGAACTGACAATCACACTAAGATTCCCTGTAAGTAACTTGCAACATGTGATAATCCTTTACACTATCATTAGGGTGTTTTGTGTGTGTGTGAGTTAGGAAAAAAAGCATATGAACCTGGATAGGGAAAGCTTTTGCTTTGTTTTAAGTTGTTTTGGTTTTTACCCAATTTGTTGGTTTTTCTTAGCATATATGAAAGAGTAGCTTCGTAGTTTGTCATTGCTTTCTTCAGTGGGCATGCCCAAAGCCATAGGAAGCAAACTGGGATTTTAGCTAGATCAACCTGCCACAGTCTATAAAAAGAGGTCCAGGAAATAATGAATGCATGGAAGCCCTGTTCTGAGAAGATACAGGATTTCATTGTCAGTTTAGAATTCTATTGGCTAGGATTCTAACTTTTCCTCCTAGCTAATCACACACATTTCATATCAACTATCATAAGCTTCCCAGGCAGCTACATTTTTCAAAGGTGGTCCTGCAATAAAAATCCAGAATCCCAAATAACTGACATCAATAAATTTATTTTGAACAGTTCCATACTGTTTTACCCAAATTCTTTCTCTCTTTCCCTCTTTCCTTTTTTCCTTCTTTCCTTCCTTTCATAATCTATAAAACTCCCCCACCCCCACCCCATCCAGCATGCCCCATTGATGCCCACTCTATCAATGGAGAATTTATTTTCGTACTTTTGCTGGACACCAAATTTTTGTAGCTAATTAAAAGCAAAGGCAACCTGAAAATGATGAATTAATAAGTTGTGTTGTCTATGACCTCTAGCTGAAGGTTGGCAATTCGTTTTCAGTAGCTTCTAGTGGCCCTTGCTGATCTACTAAGCTAAGCAAGGTCAATCCTGGTTACTATTTGAAGGGGGGGGAATGAATAGGGAAGAAAGCAACGGCAAACCACTTCTGTATCATATCCAGCCAAATTATGTAAGTAAATCACCAGGTGGGAAGCTGGACTCAAAGGTAATTTTTTTTTTCCCTGTTCATCCAGGACCCCAGGACCAACACCTAGAAGCAGAATAGAGATATTTGTAAATGAGCCTAGATATCTTTGTTAAACTTCTTATGCATACAGCATGAAGCACAAATAATAAATGTGCATTTCCTGATTAAGTTTTGTTTATATATTATATAAACAAAAGAAAGTCATTATATAAAGTCAAAGAACAGAAAAAGGGAGGTAGAAGTGAAGGGATTTTTGTCTTTTTTCTAAAGCTGTTTTGTCTTCTTCTGCTTGTGTACCTTAATTTTGTGTAAGAAACTGGCAATCCTATTAGCCTCTTATTTGGGAAAACAAACTTTCAGAAGATACCTGTGATACAAGAAACATTTTCTTAAAAAATCATAGGACATATCCTTCAGAGCAGCAAAAGTTCCTCTTTTATTCTAGTCAATGTTGTTGCAGATAGGTTTTTTTTTTTTATTTTCAGACTGTGCTTTCTGAAATTTAGTTTAGAAGTTCTGGTACTGGATTATGGGTACTAATGAAAAATAGAAAGTAATAAAGTTTGTGAAATTATTTGGCATAGTTGCAAAAAACTCATTGTAATGAACTAAATCCTGTCTGACTTCTTGGCACCCGGTATTTTATTTTCATTACTTCTGTGGCTTGTTTTTCCTTTATTAAGATCAACTTAATTGCTAATAAATCTGAAGAATTTCCTTGTTAACACAATAGATTACACAGTCATTAAACCCTTCAAAAAAACAGTCTTAATTTTTTTCTAGTATTTTTAGGGTTCTTTCCTTCTCACTCATAGAATTCTACCTTATTTCTGCTAAGAAAGGCCTGCACAGTTCATTCCAAATATTTTCACTCAGAAGCAGAAAAATAAATATTTAATGGGGGTGATTTATATAAACAATGGGGAGGGGTATTTCATTTCCATTTCATTTGAAACAGAATTTTGTAATAACTTAGAAATCTGTGAAAAACCTGGTCAAAATTGCTCTAATTCTTCCAAGACCTCTAATTCTTCCAGAGAGAATAAAAGAAAGTTTCCAGTGAAAATTGTAGATTACATGCTGTTTTTAAGATTATTATTTTAATTATTATTTGGAAATATGAGTTTAATTTATGCAATTCCATAATTCAAACAGGGATGGGCAGTCTATATATAGATTCGTTTCTTTTAAAAATGGGGGAAATTATCATGATAATAGGTGGGGATGGATGGATGGATGGATGGATGGATGGATGGATAGATAGATAGATAGATAGATAGATAGATAGATAGATAGATAGATAGATAGATAGATAG